TGCCTCAGTCCGAGTTGTTGGAGCTGTGCGGCTCAGCTCTGCGTGGCAGCCAGGTGCTGTTGCAGGAGCTGGAACATGCTCACACGGAGTTTTTGGATAGCCAAAAGCTACTTAGCTATCAGCGTAGCTACCAGAAGATTGTGGATAATATTAAACAGGCGGCGGAGCAGCTGGATGCGGAACACGAGGAGCAATTCCCGCTTGCACAGCCGCTGCTGGCGCTGCTCACGCAGCTGGAGAGCAACTCGGCTGTGTGCGAGGCCAAAGCAGAGCCTGTTGACCTAAACAACGTAGACGCGGAGCTAGCTAATATTGCACATGGCGTGCTGCTGGCACTCCAGAAGATCTACAAGGAGCACGGCCAGCAACCAAAGCAGGAGGAAGCCGAACAGCAAGAGGCGCTCAAGGAGCAGCATCTAAAGCAGCACTTGACAGGCCAACTGATGGCCAATTGGGAGCTGCTAGGCCTGCCTCGCACTCTGTCCAAGCTCTCGACTGTGTTGCTGGTGCTGAAGCACGCTAATCCCAGCCAGGAGAAGCTGGTGTGCTTGCGCCGAGCTGTGTCCCTGCTGCCCATACTTCAGCAATATCAATTGCTGGCAGATTACATTCTACTGCAGCAGCTGGGCACCCACCGACTCTCGGCCAAGATGCTGTCCATAATGCTTACCGCTTTCGTGGAGATTGGCAGCAAAGGTTTCTGTGTGCCGCCCGATCTTATGCAAGACGAGGAGGGTCAGTCCAAACAGGACTCGAAGAACGGCGAGGGCTTTGGCCTGGAGGATGGCACAGGCGAGAATGATGCTTCGGATAAAATTGAATCTGAGGATCAGCTAGATGATGCCAAGCGGCCAGAGGATCGCAAGGACGAGGGCGATAAGGATGAGCCCGACAACAAGGAAGAGAAGGGCATCGAAATGAGCGATGATTTCGATGCCAAAATGCAGGACGTGGAGAAGCCAGAGAACGAGGAGGATGACAGTGGCGAATCCGAGGATGAGGAGGAATTGAACAAGGAGATGGGCGAAACGGAAGAGGGTGCCGAAAAGCTGGACGACCAGATCTGGGGCGATGACGAGGAAAAGCAACCCGAGGAAGAGGAACCGGATTTGAATGAAGAGGATCACGGCAAAGGCAGCAAAGATGAGAAGGATGAGCACAATGATCTGGACGCTAAGAACGACGCAGCCAAAGAGGATGGCAAAGATGAGCACGAAAACGAGGGTCTGGATGCAACAAACGAGCCCAGTGGCGAGGATAAGCGCAAGGAGCAGGCCAAGGATATCGAAGATATGAAGGACCAAGAGCTCGATGAAGAGCAAACCAATGCCATGCACAATGAACTGGAAGAGCCACCAGAGCCAGAGGAAATGGATTTGGGGGATATGAACAACGTGGACGAAGGCCATGACAATGAGGCCGATGAGCCGAATGATGAGAATCCATTTGATATAGACACCATGAAGGAAAATATGCAGCCAGCCGATGAGGCAGAAGAGAATGAAGCCGAGGAGGAGAAAAAAGAAGATGAGGCCATGTCGGATGACTCAGATTCAGAAACAGAGGAGAATAGTACGGAAAAAGAGCAAACCCAAAAAGGCAAAGACGAGACAGAAGAGGATCCAAATGCTGAAGAAGAGCAAGAGAACACCGAACCAGAGACACAAACACGTGGCGAATTGGATAAAGAAGAGGAGCAGCCAGAGGAGAAACCCGCAGAGCCAGAGGCTCGCGAAGAAAAACCAGAGGAGCACTCGCAATCCAAGGATAAATCAAGCAAGGAAGACAACGTGCAATCCGTGCCAGATACGGAGCAGAATAGCTCAGCCGATCAGGTGCAACAACAGCAGCAAGAGGATGATATCAAGCAGGATCAGAAAATGGACGAGCAGGAGACGGGTGAAGAGAAGGATGGCGTGGGTCAAGCTGAAAATGATGTAAGCGCTAAAATATTTTAATTAGCTTATCCCCAAAATAAATTATTTTTCTTGCAGACGAATGATGGTGGTCATCAGGGCATAGCAGAGACAAAGGAAACTGTTTCCCAGGAAGAGCGAAAGAATGAGAAGCAAACCCAAGAGAAGCGCAAGCAAGGACGTACGAATGAGGAACGATCTCTAGGTAAGCTAATCATTCTCTCTCCCAGTTTAAAAAGCAGCTAACTTACATTTTCCTTTCCCCAGGTGAAGCTGAGCAAAATAAATTGAAGCAGCTGAAAACTATTGACCAAATGAAGGAGTCCAAACAGAATGAAAGCGAGAAGCAAGAACAAATGGATGAAAATGTTGAAGCGGAGGAGTATCAGCATGTCAAGGAGCCAAAGAACAGCGATAAAACTACTTTGGATAATGCCACTGAGGAGCAATCGAAGCAAATCAAGCATCAAGAAGATGAAGGGCCCAAAGACGAAGCAGATGCTGAAAACGCAGATGAGTTGATGGTAGATGAGGATGTGCCAGCACAGCAAGAGCATGATGACACACAACTGGAGCAGCTGAGCTCCGAAAAAACTGATCAGAAATCAGACAAACCTTCCAAGACGGAGCAGGCAAAGGAACGAGTGGAAGAGCCACAGCAGATGGAAATAGAGGGCGAAGTTGTGGCCACAATGACTGTGCCGCGCAGCACTGAGACCACTGCGCATAGCAAGTAATGCCATTAATAATACTCTTTGAAATTCATATTAAATATAGTTTATTTACAGCACGGAGCTATTGCTGGAGAAGAGCTTGCAGGCGCAGGAGCTAAGTACAGCAGAGCAAATTGAGCTCAGGCAAATGTATCAACAACAGCTGACCAGCGCGAATTCCGTAAGTAATATACATGGTCCCATATGATCAATTGTTTAAAAATCCTTCGTTTTCACACACAGAATCTGCCACAGCATGAGGATTATGAGAGCTGGTCGAGCATCTCCAATCGCATGACGCAAAATGCTCGCGAGCTGTGCGAACAGTTGCGTCTCATCTTGGAGCCGACAAAGTGCACCCGTCTCAAGGGTGACTATCGCACGGGTCGACGCATCAACATGAAAAAGATTATACCATATATAGCCTCGCAATTCCGTAAAGACAAAATCTGGTTGCGCCGTACAAAACCCGCCCAGCGTGATTACAAGATAACTATAGCCATTGACGATTCCAAGTCGATGCATCATAACAATTCCAAAATATTGACCCTAGAGGCTATCTCGTTGGTGTCGCAGGCTTTGACGCTGCTCGAAAGCGGTCGCCTGAGCATTGTATCCTTTGGCGAAGCGCCGAAAATTATCCTGAACCATACGGAACAGTTTGATGGACCCCGTTTGGTTAGTGCTCTCAATTTCGATCAGGATAAAACGAAAATTGCGGGTTTGCTCGACTTTATACGCACTGTAAATATGGAAGAGAGCGGCTTGGGAGGCGATAATGGTCTCTTCGAGAATCTGTTGCTGGTGTTGAGCGATGGGCGAAATATTTTCAGTGAGGGCAATCAGAAAGTAAAGAATGCCATCAAACTAGCTAGGCTGCAGCGCATATTCCTCGTATACATCATCATCGATAATCCTGACAATAAGGTAAGCTGTTGAATATGTATAAAATCCGCCAAGACATTTAATTCAAATTCTTTATTTTTACAGAATTCAATACTGGACATTCAACACGTTGAGGTCAATGCCGATGGCTCCGTGAAAATCAATTCATATTTGGATAGTTTTCCCTTTCCATATTATGTTATTGTCCGGGACCTTAATCAATTGCCTCTAGTACTCAGCGAAGCTATGAGACAATGGTTTGAATTAGTCAATAGTGAATAGACGGTCATTACTTTGTATATAGTAGATAGGAACAATATATAATTACTTATTCTTTTTTTTTATAAACAATTTGATACTTTATTATATAATAAATATTAAGTTTTTGTATTTTCTACAAATTCGTAGAAAGAAATAAATCAGATTGAATTGACAAAATGAAAACGACTTTTTAATTAACAGTATTATGTTAGTATAATGCTAAAAAAAACGTTATGTTTAAAAAAAATCTGTTAGTTAACACGATCGTGTCAACTCAATGTTAAATAACAGGAGTATGTTAACTAACAGCACCGTCAATGTTAAGAAAAATCATTCTGTTAAGTAACTATTTGCTACCTGCTAGTCATTTATGTTCGCCTGGTATTTCAATGGCATTTCAATCGAAAATTGGTTGCTCTCGTTGTACTAGATATTTTATTTCCAGCCCCAAAAGTATGCTGTATTCACTGTGATTTACGAATTTAAGGATTAACCGCAAAAGTATGGTTAAGTCTATCAAATTTGTTCGCTGCTTTACCTAAAGGCCCAAAAATATGCTATGAAATTAATAGTTTTTGCGAGTCCTTTCCGATGATAAATAAAACTCCTTTTTATACATTTTTAAAACGTTTTATTCAATTTGATAAAACCCAATTTCCATTGTTTATTGTTAATTATATATAATATTTCTAGTCCTTAATATGCCTATTCCTTGTTTCATTTACAAATAAAACGTCCTTATAGGAAAATAGTTCACGATTGCAGTTCCTTATAAAAAAAAAGGCTTGCCATAAGAATAGGAATATATCGCGTAGACTAATATTATCTTATAGTAGGTCCTGTAGATACAAATAATTTTTGCATATATGTATATGTATATCAAAAGATTTAATAAATGAATGCATACAAATTTATAAACAAAAAAAACTCGTTTTTTTTTTTTTGAGAGGAGATTTTAAAATGTTGCCGTGGAGGGCTAATTTTGAGTGAAATGCTGCTCGAATACCAGGCGAACAGAAATGAGCAGCAAGCTGCTTAAGTAAAATAAATCAAATATTTTCTTGCAACCCCAAAAGTATGCAACGTTTCTACAAAATGTACATTATTTCTTTTAAAAGCCATGCCCAAAAGTATGCCCCGCTTTTAGACGATTTGCAATCAAAAACTTGCTGGCATGTTTTTTTTTTTTTTTTTAATGTGTGAAAATATATTTGCGTATTTGGTTTTTATTTACACTTGATTTTGGAATTGTGGCATTTGGCTAATGCAATACCACTTGCAAATCAAAAGGATATTCCCTGGAGTTAAGGCTTTGTCTAAACAGCTGTGTATGCTGCCAAGCCACGTCCCCTTTGCCACCGCTTAGCTTGGCCACAATTTGGAATTCTGTGGCGTTCTCAATGCATCTGTTGCCATCGCTCGTCACCACGCTCACATCAATTTTGCCGTCTCCAAAGGTTTTCGTTTCGAATGTGAGCTTATAGGATTTCACTCGAAGATTAGATTTGCTCAAATTGAATTTCCAAATGATTTCAGCGCTGTCCGTGTCCTCTGTAAGCAATTATATAAATTAATTATTAATTAAAATTTAATAAATAATAATGAAAAATGTGAATAGAGCTTACCTAGCCTGGCCAAATAGGCCATTTTCCAATCTCTCTCGACCTTGCGAAAAATGTTCTTCGATGCAAACTGCGCACTTTGCCAAGTCTTGTAGGTTTCGAGTATATTGAAATGTTCGCCATCTAGAAATCAAGGAAAGTAATCGGTCATGAGCATAATTGATAAGATTTCTCTATGCACTAAGCACTCTATCAAACCTTTCGTATATCTTTCGTACGTATCGCTGGCGCAATTGTAGCGCAAATTGAATTGTCGCAGTTCCCGCTCGCTGTCATTTGGCGTAAATACAAAAATCTGCAATAGAATAATGCATGAGAGATCGTGTATGTGCTTATTATATAGAGGACAAAGGCAATTAATGATCAGCTCCAATGACTCACATCTGTGAACGTGTGCTCCCCACGCGACTGGCGCCACGACAAGCTGCCCGAACTTCTGCCTTTGAGCTCGCTTTCGGTAGGAGTGCTGCGTAGTTTATATGAAAAATGTAGAGATCAGCTTTAATTACAACAATAACAAGTTGCAATGCTGCAGTCGAGAGCTACCGACTGCATAACGCTCGTTAGGTTTACAAAATTGGAAACGTTGATATAGGTCATATAGCTTTTGCATATTTTACAAGAATATATATCTGTAGAATTGCTCAATRAACAGCCTGCAATGCAGAACCTGACATTGCATAAAACCTATATACTCCATTTCACCAGGTGAACGAGTAGACAAAACAATACAAAGCAACAAGAACAATCGATGAATATTTTTCTAATACATACCGTTCCACGGTCATTTCAATGACCTCGCACATGTTGCGTTGACTGAGGAATTTTTTGCGTTCTTCGCTCGCGAACTGCTGCCGTTTGGCGCGAATCACATTCAGTGCTGCGATGAGCTCCTTCTCCGAGCACAGCTTGCGCTGCTTTAATATTTGCTGGTGATTGTTCGTATATCGCCAAGTGACATCCTGTGCATCATCGCGCGAATAGCCAAAGATGTAGTCGATATTGCGCTTCCAGCCGTGCTGGTACATAAGTGGCGAGTCGACCACATTGTCGGAGGGATCGACATGCAGCCAGCGCATTTGCTTCTCTGAAAACACTTCGGTCCACACATGATCGAAATGGGAATGCACTAAGCGGGCATCGTAGTCCAGACATCTGCACAGGAATGTAAAGCAATTGGCAAACTCGCCACAGCGCCCCTTGCGCGACACCAATAACTGGGAGATGTCATTGTAGCGATAGAACTTGGTCTCTTGGCCACAGCAAACTGTGACCTCGACCCGCACATCGCCCTCGGTTTGGGTGCGACGTAGTTTGCCATCCTCACTGCCGCACACTTGGCATGGTATGTTGTTGACCCACTCGAAGAACTCCGTATTGAACCAATTGACCAGCTCAACGAGCAGCAGATCACGTATGCAGGGTTCCTTCTCTTTACATTTTCCAGCCGCAATTAGTTCCTGCATTTCAATTAATTTGCTGCTGGCATTCATTGTTAGCTCATCGATGGGTATCAGACTTCGTCCACTGGCCAGCAACGCCTCATCCTCATACTGCATAACGGCATCGCTGTAGAGCTCCAAAGACTGCAGGAATCGATTAGGAGTGCGCTGCAAATAGAAATTCAATATATTCTATTCAATGAAATTATTCTTTTCTACTCACTAGCATGCGCGGAAAGGTAATACGTTGTCTGTAGGGCACTGAAGGTTGTATAAACAAAGGCGTAGCACACGTAGCTGGCATTTCTCTTGTAGTTGTCGCCTGGACTGGCTCTAAAGTAAATAAATTCAATTTCAATTAACAGTTAACAGTTAACTTGGTTATATTACAGCTACTTACGCTTTGCACCATTCAGCCACGCCTCTCGCCTTTTGCTTAGCACGTCTCTGTACTTTTGTATTTGCTGTAACGGTACCTCAGTAGGCAATGTGTATTCATTGGAGCTTGGCAAGCGTTTGAAACCAATTGCGTTCAGCAATCGCTCACTGCCCTCCACCGAAAGCAGCTTTTCCTTGATCGCCTTGTTCTCCACACGAATGGTGCGATACTTCAGGTTATTTGGCTGACTTAGCACATTCTCGAGCAGCACGAGCAATATTCGCACTGCCTCTAAATATTGCTCTTGCTGTTTCTCCGTCGATTTCGCCGGCTGGGGCTCGATCAATTGCACGCACTCCAAATTAATGTCAACCATGTTAAAATGCGCGGCGCTATCAAAATAAGCCGCAAAGCCGCTATCGTGGGTGTCGTTGGGTGGGTGGGTGATTGTCTAGCTGCCAAATTAGGGATGAGCGATGTTTATCACAATATATACTTATCGAATGGAATAGCTTATTGACTAAATTAATTGATTAAATTGCGTATTTATTGCACTTGAAACACAACAAAAGAAGAAGGAACAAAGGCTTAGCGGCTTAAGCAGCTGTTGACAAATTGCACCAGTTGCCTATCGATAGGTGGAGTATTTTTTAGTAATTTTTTGTTTTGGTATTATTAGATACGTTTTTTGTAAGAGTGGCAGCGCCAGAGGCTCGGCGAAATTCAACCACTTTTGAAAAAGTAGGCGTCGTTTCAATTGTGAAGCGTCAGTCATTGTGCAAAGTTTGCGCAGCGGTTAATTCAGAGTAACTGAAAACAAAAAACTTCATTCGTCTCTTATATTTCCTTAAAAGGTAATAAAATTCAGTCTTCCTTTGTTCACCTCGTGTGCCTTTGACTCTCTGTCTCAGGCTCAAACTCTCGAGCGGCTTTCGTTTTGAAGCAGTGTGTACATACAAATTCATTTGAATAGTCTATTTTTTTTTCTCATATTCAATTTTAGCAAGTTAAACTACAATCCATATAGCAAAAATGTGTGACGAAGAGGTTGCCGCTTTGGTTGTCGATAACGGTTCCGGCATGTGCAAAGCCGGCTTTGCCGGTGATGACGCACCACGCGCCGTTTTCCCATCAATCGTCGGACGTCCCCGCCACCAGGGCGTTATGGTTGGTATGGGCCAGAAGGACTCGTATGTGGGCGATGAGGCACAGTCGAAGCGTGGCATTCTCACCCTGAAATATCCCATTGAACACGGTATTGTGACCAACTGGGATGACATGGAAAAGATCTGGCATCACACCTTCTACAATGAGTTGCGTGTGGCACCCGAGGAGCATCCAGTGCTCCTAACTGAGGCACCCTTGAATCCCAAGGCCAATCGTGAGAAGATGACGCAAATCATGTTCGAGACATTCAATACTCCGGCCATGTATGTGGCCATCCAAGCTGTATTGTCCCTATACGCCTCTGGTCGTACCACTGGCATCGTCTTGGATTCTGGTGACGGTGTCACCCACACTGTGCCCATCTATGAGGGTTATGCACTGCCACATGCCATTCTTCGTCTGGACTTGGCTGGTCGCGATTTGACCGACTATCTCATGAAGATCCTGACCGAGCGTGGCTATTCCTTCACCACCACTGCTGAGCGTGAAATTGTGCGCGACATCAAGGAGAAGCTTTGTTATGTTGCTCTGGACTTTGAGCAAGAGATGGCAACAGCTGCCTCCAGCTCCTCGCTGGAGAAATCCTATGAGCTGCCTGACGGACAGGTCATCACAATTGGCAATGAGCGTTTCCGTTGCCCCGAATCTTTGTTCCAGCCGTCGTTCCTGGGCATGGAGGCGTGTGGCATTCATGAGACCACCTACAACTCGATCATGAAGTGCGATGTCGATATCCGTAAGGATCTGTATGCCAACACTGTGTTGTCCGGCGGTACCACCATGTACCCTGGCATCGCCGATCGTATGCAAAAGGAGATTACAGCTCTGGCCCCATCAACCATGAAGATTAAGATTGTGGCACCACCAGAGCGTAAATATTCCGTCTGGATTGGTGGCTCCATTCTGGCCTCGCTGTCCACATTCCAACAGATGTGGATTTCCAAGCAGGAGTACGATGAGTCTGGCCCATCCATTGTGCACCGCAAATGCTTCTAAGTGACAAAAACAGCAAAAACAACACCAAAAACATGCACAACAACTGCGACTGTCTCTGGGCGTGGTCCTGTCTGTGCCAGCGTCTCGCGCATACACTCCAAAAAAGAGATATACATATATATATAAAATATTTTCCTATTCATTTCGTACTTAGGATAGATAAAACAAAGAAAAGTGAAGAAGAAGAAGATGCGGAGCTAAAGATATTTAACACAGGCAGGCCCATTGTCCAGCAACAGCAGCAGAGACAGCAACAAAGCTAAACTACCAACAATTTTTTTTATATATCTATAACAATTTTATACGAAGTCATGTACTACATAGATACACACACCTACACACACACAGACACACATCTACACCCACACACACTCCTTTTACACATAAGTATTTAGCATATATTTTTGTGTTGGATCGAAATTCACGAGTTCATGCGCATATTGGTATTATTATAAAAAATATATAATATATATATTCATATTCGGCATTATACATTATCCAAGCATTCTTTACATATATTATTATATTATGTATTACACTTAACCAAAAAAAGACAAAAACAAAAACATAAAATCAAAACTAAAAAGTATTTGTAACCGCTACGAAAAAAACAAAAAAATTATAATAAAAAGCGATGAAGAACTGAATATGGTTAAAACAGACTTATTATTGATAGTTATTAAATGTATAGCTGGCTGTTTTTCCCCCTTTCCCTTGATGAACAAGCTGTTATGACTCAGAATCTTATGGATATGGAGATTTGTCAGCTCGCTCGATAAGCCGCTGCTTACTAATGCGTACCCAAAAATATTTGATTTCTGTCTGAAGAAAACAAAGGCTTTGCTCATTTTTTCGCAGGAAGTGTTTGATAAGCAAAATTATATTTATGAAAATTTCTGTATATATTTAGTTAGGAGTATTTCTTATTATATTAGCTGTTGTGGCAAATGCGGGCCATGAATCGGCGCGGCTTATCAGCGTGACGGACCAAGCCAAGAATTGCCCGTGTCTCGCGCCGATTGATTACACAGCAAAACAGCTGTAGCAGCACCACGCCGTTTACCTTATAAGGCAACAAAACAGTCTATCGCAGCCTGTGTGTACATTAGTGCATGTCTCATGTGCTTTTCACTGGCAATAGTTATGCCCGAATTAATCAACAGCAACAAAACAATTGACTGAGTCAGCGGGCAAACATTGGAAATCGGCAACGGAACGGCAACGGAATCGTCATCAATTCGCATTGTGTGTATTTGTGTGTTTGGCTGCTTGACCACTTACGGCTACACGATGCCAGGGCTGCAGACGGGGTAAAGAGAGTGCGAGAGGCGGCTATAGTAGCAGCAGCTAGAAGGAGAAGAGCAGAGAGAGAGAGGGGCAAAAATGTATAGTAAAAGACAATGACAGCAAGTGCAGTGAGGAAGTGTGGAAGGTGGGTAAATGAAGTAAATGAACTAAATCACACACACACCCACACACACAAAGTCAATGCAGCAGCAGAGGGGCGAGAGTGAGAGCCAGAGGCTATAGTAAGAGAATGAAATCACAGAGAAGTCAGGGTGTCAGGTGTGGCCGAGCGCGGTGGGGCGAGGAGCGCAGAGTAGACGACATTTTAGGCAGGGCTTTGAATGCGTTTTTTGTTTTGGTTCACAAACTCGCATTGACCAAAAACTCAATCAACTATTTTTTTTTTTTTTTTTTTTTTTTTGGTAGTAAACAATCACACCCATATGTGGATTGATCAAAAGCGTTTGACTTTTTAGAGACAAACATTTAGATATGCATACGTATATGACTGTATTGATCAAGGTTGTGAACCGATTAGGCTTAAACCCGGAATATTTTTATAGACTTTCAACTACGAACGAACTTTACTTATGGCTTCGGCTAAAATGAATTATATACATTATAAACTAATAAATTTACAAATTATAAATAACAATAAAAATTACATATATGTATTTGTTAAAGAAACTAAACTTTACTGCTAATCAAATAAAAAATATTTATATATTTATATTTAAAGAATATTTAAATCGCATTCTTGATGAAAATATATTAGGTTTTCTTATTATTATTGTTATTTTGTTTTATTTTATTAAGAAAAACTACTTATGTTATACGACAAATCAAGATTTATTCAATCTTTATTATTCATTAAATTTTCAAGTATATTTTAAATTTTTATACATTTTCATAGAGCTATAAAGGATTTTACATATATATACGTATATAATTTTTTTATAGAAATTATTTTTATTGCAATCGTTATACATATGTTTTCCATATAAATTTATATGTATATATTTGACACGCCCTCAGTTTTAGTTTATACGACAAGAGTTTTTAGTAATTACAAATGCAAATCATTCCAGTACAGAGAAATTTCTATAAATTAATAAGAGATAATTTTGTTGAATAATTTCCAGTTCCCCATATTCTTCCATATTTATTTTCTTTTGATTACGGCTGCTTTGAAATGTGTGTGTGTGTGTTTTAAAAACATATGTTTTGTGCATTGGTAAATCAGTTGAATATATATTACTAGATAAGAACACATATATAAGTACTACGGTTAGCTTTATAAAATCAGCCTTTAATTCATGCTTTCTAGGATTAGATGTACGTAGATTAGAGTTTTTGAAATAAGTAAAATTGCTCTATTTATTGCACTTATTTTCAAAACTAACTTCAATAAAGCAAATGAAAAATAGAAACATGTAGATAGCCAATTTAATAAGAGTTCTTTAGTCGGTTGTGCCTGACTAGAAAATGCCCTGAACCCACCATTGATTGACTTTTATATTTTCATAGCAAATGGAAAAGGTATTCCAAATAGTAAATCTGAGTATCATTTTCATTAAAGGAAAATTCACTTCTGATAAGTGATCTTTAGCATCAAAGCCCTTTAAGTTTCGATTTTTATCGATAACAAACAAGTGAGAGGAAAAATAGAACAAGATCATAAACTTAGGCTACATATAAAGCCAAGAGATTTTTACAAATGGACAATACGAGCAGATCTGATCATTCTGCTATTATGCTTAATGGTGGACACTCAGGTCTTTTTTGTCCCAAGCTCTTCTATACAATTTACTTTATGTTCAGGGTGCACTTGCGCTTGAAATAATACTCACCAAAAAATAATAAAAAGCATAAAAAAATACAATGAAAATCAATTTTAACTAGCTTTGAACATTTCTGTCATATAAAAATTTTGTTGCTTTTTTTTTTTTATAAATTACGATAATAAATTTTATTTTGATGTTTTTGTTCACTAAATGTACATGGATTTGTGTATGTATGTGTGGGTGTTTGTATAATTTTAAATACATAATGTAATGGTTAAAAATTACAATTAAAATGTATAACATTAATAATATGGAGTTTACTTTATTGCATAATGTTTTGCGTATATTTTTTTTCTTCTAGCACTTGTTTATGTTTATGTTTTTGTTTTGTTTACGATAATACGATAAAGATAAAGCATATATATGTCGTTGATAATGTTGAGTGTGTGAATATATAAGGTAAGACACGTAATGTTTGTTTTTTATTTGTGTTTAACTAAAAGCATAAATATATAAGTATTTAAATATCTTTTATATAATGGCTATATAACTAAAAAGAGAAAATATGCATATACATGTATACATATATATACGAAGATCCTATATATAAACTGTGACTTTATGCGTTTCGTATGTATAAATTTATATATATTATGATACAGCGTTCAATAATAGCGCCTGATTGCAAAACAAATTAATATAAATCATATCGATATACCCATGTGTGCATATATATATATATAGGCATATGTATACGATTCATGCATTAAGTGCAAACAAAGAAATCTGTTTTGTAATCAAAAATACAAATAATTAGATTTCACACATACGTATATATATATATTCTTCAACTTAGCACACCGCAATGCTTCCTAAATACTAAAATTTGCCTGCCTTAAATGCTAATAACATGTATATTGATACCTAGACGTACACTCAGCTCCATGTTGAGAGCATGGGATTACTYTTGCTTTGCTTTGCTTATATTTTCTTTTCATTTCTTTTTTAATGCTCTAGAAAATCTGTGCAAAAGTTGAAATAAGTAACTAAATAAGAATTGTCCGTGTTGGTTAGCTTTATGCTTCGGTCTTATTGTTGCTGTTGATGTTGCTGCTGCTACTGTTGCTCTGGTCCGCTTGGCTGACTGCTGCTGGTCCGGGCGCTACCCTGTTGCAGCTGCCGCGTTTGCCAGCGGGCGCATAAAGCATTTATCAGTAAGCCTGCGCCTCCTTATAATCACTCTGATCGGATGTATAGAAATCCTCGAGCTTCCACTGCAGCGTTTCGAATGTGGGTCTACGCATCGGGTCCTTGTGCCAGCACTCCAACATTATCTCATACAGACGCTGCTCACAATTCGGTGGCATGGGCATGCGATAGCCATGCTCAACCTGGGTTAATACTTCAGCGTTGGTCATACCTGTTGGAAGATAGAGACTCTTAGAATTGTCTTGGGGGATATCTACAAATAGGGAAACCCACCTGGATAGGGTATACGTCCGTAGGTAACCAGCTCGGTGAGTAAAATGCCAAAGCTCCACACATCCGACTTAATGGAGAATTTACTGTAATTGGCCGCCTCTGGTGCTGTCCATTTGATGGGGAAGCGAGCACCGACGCGCGCCTCGTATTCATCCTCCTTGATGAGTCTGTATATTGCATATAGAAAAAACATTAGATAATCTTTGCAAATGGTTATACATGATTGCAGCTTTCACTTACCGTGCCAGACCAAAATCGGCTATCTTTACGATGTTGCCATCGCCGACGAGCACATTACGCGCTGCCAAATCTCTGTGTATATAGTTTTGTGATTCCAAATATGCCATGCCAGCGGCTATTTGGGCAGCCATATCGATGAGCGTTTGCATTTTGATACTACGACATTTGCCTGCAATTGCTAAAAGATATTAAAAACACATTCATCAGATATTAATAATGACACGATAATGAAGTTGAACCAATGAGCGAACCATGAACCATGAAATTAGAAATTAGCCAAGTTAATGTATGTGTTATGTTATGTTGATTTGATTAGCATTAGCATTTCGTTTGGCTTACCTTGCAGATACTCCAACAGGGAGCCGTGCTTCATCAGCTCGGTTATAATGTAGATGGGCTCCTCGACGGTGCAGACTGCATATAGCTGAATGAGCTTGGTGTGGCGCAGCTTCTTCATTATTTGTGCCTCAGCCAAAAAGTCCTTGGGATCCATAGTGCCTGAAAAATGGGATAAACAAAGGATTAGTTAGTTATATATGATCTCTATAATTATATATATTTCTCTCCATATTGCATTTCAACTTACCCGACTTAAGAGTTTTGATGGCCACGGGCGTGGTATTGTTCCACAGACCCTCCCAGACATCGCCAAACTGGCCGGAGCCCAATTTGCGTACGAATTTCAACGAAGTTCTATCGATTTCCCACTGATCGCGAGTTCGATGCGATAGACCCTCGGTGACAGGTTTCTCAATCTGTGTGGCAAAAACAAAAACAAATTAGTGCATGTCATTTCGTAAATGCTTTAAGCAATTCAATTTGTAATATGGTGTGTGCTTTTAGGCTCGTTTTGTATGAAGGTGCCAATTGGAGAGAGCTGGTGGCTAAAGATGTGACAGCTGTGGCATACACTTAGGCATTATGTACAAATTTTCGTTAGACTAGAAGTAGAGCGGAGTTGGCTAACGTTGTAAGTAATTTGTGAATTTTTGTTGTTTGGTTTTTTGGGCTTTTTGTTTGTCTGGCCTTTTGGGTCAAAGTCAAAGTGCAACTAATCTGCGGCTAGTTAATGAAATTTACTATTGTTTTTAGCTAACTTTACCATTTATTTGGTTTTCGTTTTTTCTGAGTTCAAGCCAGCTGCTTAGTCATTTTTGAACATTGCAAATTTGAAAGTGCATTAGCTGAAATGTTTTGCATGCCCTTCGCAAAGTTTTTTCTTTGTTTTGTTTTGTTTTTTTTTTTTTTTTTTAGTTTTTCCTTTTCTGTTTCATGTTTGCATAAGTTGGACACGCGATTTGGCAGTTGCACCAAATACTATATATATATATATACACTACATGTAGCAATACTTAATTAAAAAGTAAAGCTTATAGTATATTGCATAGTATAGTTAGTTATATATATATCAATCGATATTTATGAGTGGAATTTGCTAGAAATATTTGCAAGGCTAAGCTAAAAGCCATTTTTACAGCATTTGTAACTTTCAACTGGTTTTTGACAGACAAATAAATTAGCAAAAGTATGAAAATATAGCAAAGATAGCATATTCTTATACAAGCTTATATCAAATTCGAGTCTGATTCTAGATTTAAAATTATTAACTGTTAATTGAACAAAAAATAGATTATATAGCATATTTCTTATATTATATAACATAATCATTATGTCATAGGTAGAATATAATATATACAATATTTATATAATTTTCTCGTTAATATACAGAATGTTTATCTTTATCTACCTTCTGACTAAATCACAAAATGACTGGCATAAATTTTAATATGAATTATTTTTTGGGGATTTTTATTTGCATTTTTCAACGCTTAATTGCACTTTGTACTCTGACTAAATTTATGAATTAAATGAAATGAATGGGTTGTTTATTTAGTATTATTTGTTTATGGATTTTTTTATTTTGCATAATGCTGGCACACACACACACACATTAACGTTAATGCTTAGAGTTACAAAATCCTACCTCAAAAATACCCGAAAATGAATTTGTCTTTTATTTGTTTGTTAGTATTTATAAATAATTTTCGTTAGTATTTTTAAAGGAATACAAAAAACAAATATATAAAATCATTTTAAAATCGTTTTTCTTTTCTTGTTAAGTATACGTAAATAATGACAGAAATCATAATTGAAAATGTTAAATGTAAAATGTTTAATATTGAGAAATGCCATGTTAAATGCGCGACAAGAACACGTTAAATGTTAAATGGCTTATGGCATGTTAAGTGCATGTTAAATGCCAAAAACAATAATTGAATACCATGAATCAATAGAAACTCATATAGCTAACGGTGCTTACCTGTACACAGGGCTTGCAGAGGTTGACGCACAGGCCATCCGAATCCTTGGAATAGTGCTCGACAAGCTCTTGTAGGGTTCTGTTATCGATAACGAAGAGAGTATATTAACACAATGTTATGTAAATGTTAAAATGTGTATATAATTACCTGAATGTTGTGCGTCTGGCAATGAAGAAGCCGCCCTCATCCAATTGTCTGATGCGGTAATGCTTAACCGTATCGCCATCGCGCACTGCAAAATATATACAATACAATATTAGATACGATTCATGTATAAGCTTGCATTTTATATTCATTATTCATGATCAATAGATTGACATTTGGTACGCCATTTATAGCACCCACCTGATAGCGAATAGTCATTGTGACGGCTTTCGGAATCGCGTATTAAAAACGCGCCGTGCTCGTTCTCTGGCAGTAGCAATTTTTTCTCAGCCTCAATGCGTTTGATTTTGCGGAAGTACCAACTGCAATTACAATCAACAGAAATGGAAATTGTCGTTAGCGAAATATGTAAATGCATTAAAAAGTGAAGTTTTGTTTTTTGTTTTAACATAAAATTGTGGTTTTTATTAAGGAAACTGCTAGATGCGAGGCTACAAATATAATAATAATAAAACATAAAACCTATCAATCCGAAGGCACGTGCGTGGGTGTTGTCCCCATTTACAGTCACACACACATACACGCATTCCGACATACTCACACAGTCATGCTCTCCTTACTCAGTCTACGGGCCTGACTCATAGACTTTTCATACGTATTCTACCGGCAGAAAGGCTAAGTATATACTCGGCATATCTATTTTTTCGTGCATAAACTCTCTCTTTTCATGTTCTCCATTTATACTCACACCGTCTACTGAAGGTCTCCAGTCACACATCGTTTACTCAAAATCTCCTCTCACACTCTCATCTCATAACCACGTTATATACTAACACCGTCTATTTAAAATTCTCCACTCACAATCTCTACCTCAACATAATTTTTCAACAGATACACTCTCTGAACGTGATCTCCACACTCTATTCATATCCTCCACATAAACTCTCTTCTTGTAGTTTCCACATATATCCTCCACACAGACTCTACACAGCAACTCTCCACGCCTACAGGAGATAACTTTTCATCACTACAAACATATTCTTTTTACACTCGGTTCACACACTCTCCTCTCACTATACCCACTACTCTCCACTACAAAATATTCTCCACATCACAGACTCTCCAATTACATTTATCTCACATTACACACTCGTCTAAAATTCTCCACACATTCACTCTCTACATAGAGTTCACACACATTCCATTTCGCACTCACACACACTCTCCCACTTTTCCATTTTAACAATTTTATCAACATTTTAATTTACGAACGTGTTTTTCGTTCTATTTATAAATAAATTTTGTTGTTGTTTATATTTCGTCAGGCGAATTTCTAGTTATTTGCGCTTGTAATTAAATTATTATGCAATTATTTTTTAATCTAGAAACGTGCACAATTTGTTGGAATTATCCTGCTTTTCAATTATTTACCAATTTCTGTGTGTGCTATTGCGAATTGCAAATGTTTTGTAATTTATGCACCAATTTTTCTCACTCTTCTTCTTGCTCTCTCGCACATTTTGTGTTTTAGCGACAAATTTATTTTATTTATGCATTTTATGAGCGTTTTAAATTCAACTTTAATTGCGCTTCCGAATCGAAAATTGCGGAAATCGGCTTAAAGTTTTTTATATATTTATTTGTTATTTTTCATGCTTTTGTTTTTGTTTTAAATATAAATTTATGTGCGCTGCTGCATAGAGAGTTTCATGTTGCTTGTGTGTGTGTCATTATCTAGTTAAATTTATTTGAAAATTAAACTGGATAGCTTGAGTTTCATTGTAACTTTTGAAGTGATCATCTATATTAGTAATAAATTGTTTTTATTTTTTTTTATTTTACTAGAATTTTGTATAAACATTGAAATGTGAATATATTAAAAATGGTTAAATGGGCTAAAATATTGCTCTGGGCAAATGTATGCATGTAAATCTTAAGCAGAGGTAGGTCAAGCCCAGAGGCTATATATGTATATATATTCCTCATTAATAAGATGAGTTAAGCTCTTCAAGTTTTATCACGTATAGCTCTGTCAGTCTGATGATTCTTCATCATTCCTCATCATTAGTTGATACAGTTTAATCTGTCTAACATGTTTAGCTCTTTGCCTAGAGAGATCTTATACCATAATACTTACTTACACTTATAAATACATATTAAGTTGATGTTAAATCACTAGTGAAATGTAAATTTTCTAAGTCACATTAAATTTCCCATATTCCTATACCTTTTCAATACCTAACAGTCTTCTCTAATCTGCTCTAACATGCATGTTAAGGTAGCTGTCAATTGTTGTTTGGGCTGGCATTAACATTGACCTTAATCAAGTAACAAACAGTGAAAGAAAAATAACAAATTGAACAGCTATTGTGAATTTCTCTACACCTCTCTCTCTCTCTCTCTCTCACGCTTGCTTTTCGAGCAACTGTTGTTACAATTAAAGAGATTTCTGTTATATAATCGAACCGCGAACGAAACCAATTCACAATTTATTTTTTAAAGGTTCGTGACAGAGAAAAAGATGACAAAATCTTCAACAACCAAAAGATTTGTGACATATCATAAAAATACATGTAAAATGTGTTGTAAAAGTAAGATAAAGACAGTTGCAGTGTAATAATTGAGACACACACACACACACATACACACACAGAGAGAAACACATTTGCATATACTTAACACACATCTATAGATAGATATATAGATAGTCAGCTTTTATGTGGGTTATGTAGAAACGAAGCCATTTGCGATCTTTTGTCTAAGCATTGAAATGCGGTTTTATTATGCGCCCCTCACGATTCGCTTGACGCTGGCCTCAATGCGATAAAGGAAACTCATCAACAGCAGCAGCAGCAGCAGCAGCAGCCGAGAAATACATTTTCCGGACGTACAAAACTTTTCATTTCAATAGCTGCGTTAGACCAAAAACAAGAACTGCTGAAAGAGAAGCAGGAGGAATGGCCGCAGGAGGCGGAGGCCCACGGGCGTGTTAAGTCTTGAAACGTGGCGCAAACAAAAAAGTGAAAATAAAAATTGTTGTGCACAAGGACATGCCATGCCTCAGTGTATATGTGAGCACACACACACACACATGTATATACATGTATATAGCCAGACAGCTCTGCTTTGGGCTCTTGTGCATGCACAGGAATAACCAAATAGCCTGGAATGCCCAAACCACAGAGCCGAAGCCACAAACCATTTGCATAAAAAACAACTTCAGCCACAGATATAGCATCAGCCACAGCCACAGCATCAGCATCAGACGCAGCCACAGCCTCAACTCCAGCATTTGTGCACCTGGGGAGCTTAAACTACGAGCTGTGTGTGAGGACAGATTGCTCCAGCTGCCATTGCCAGAAGCAAAGTAAAGTGAAGCAACGTGAAAGTCGAATGGAATATGCTTAAAGCTAGCCTATTAATAGCTAATCAAAACAAACAACAGCTACGTTATAGTGTTGTAAAACGTTAAAGCAAATGTAAATATAAAAGTGAATTCATTATCAATGACTTATTTAGCTTGAAAAGTTCACAGTTTGTAGCTAGAAGCATTATTGAAGGAAAATAGGACAGCTAACAGTGTTGCATAACGTCAATAAAACAATACTCAAATAAACGAGTACTATCAAATTAACAGTCAAATAAAGTTCATAGAGAGTTCGGTTTTAGGGAGGGAACGAAATGAATATGCAGCAGAAGCATCTATGAATCCACGCTAAATCGATATCGTTATCGATAACAACAATCTTCCAGCATTCATTGGCAGTAAAACCTGTGCTTACAGCTCATAAAATGCGACGTGATACGCCTATGCGACTATGATAATATGCCCCATTATAAACGGTAAATTAATTTTAATTAGCCAGCCTGACTATGGGCATATACCCCATGAATTCAGCACAGTTAAGTGGTGTAGCAAAAAAGAGAAGAAGAAGAAGAAGCAGAAGAGGAGCACAACATGCACAGCAATTGGCAAGACAGGCTGCGAAGTTGCGATTCTAGATGGGCTTCATGGCCAATGCCGTTTGCCAGTTCTATTGAATTTCACTTTGGCTTAGAATGCAAACGAAGGTGGTCAAAGGAAGAGCGAGATGCAGGAGAGGGAGAGGGTAGATAGCGCTAGCTGAAACTAGTTGGACTGCGTGTTCTTATTCCATTTCCATTTTTCTTCTTTCGCCTGGAGCCATTCGGTTAGCTGGAATTCAAGCGGGCAAAACTGCAAGTAATCTGATTGCGCAAAAACCATTTAAAGCTATTATTAAAAGAACTTGCGGACTAGCTGAACTCGGACTCGGACTCGAACTCGATGCTCGCACTCGATGTTCGCTGCTCGGACTCGATTTCAGCTCAACTCTTAACTTGGCTGGCACTTTTAATTGGCTGTCTGCTGCGTTAGGGGAGTTGGATTTAATTTCGTTTTTTGTTATTTTGTTTTTTCTCGTATATATGCCCTGTAATTGGTTAGAGAGGGCATGATGTGCCCATGCAAATGTATGTAAAGGTCAGCAGAATCAGCATTTGTGTAACCCTCCTATTAAAATATATGTTCTTAACTTGAATGACTAGCCAATTTTATATACTTAAGCTGCCCCTCTTTCTCACTTCTCTTCTCTTTTTGAACGCTTGGTTCTTGTAAACTACACGAGCTGAAGACTTCAAAATCGTTGAATATATATTGTTTTATAGCAGAGTTAACATTAGTTTAAACGTTTTTCCGTAGTATCTATAAGTAATCCATATTTTAGTAGCATAACTTTTGTTTCTCTGTGTGTGTGTATCTTTATGTACATTTCTATTCTACATACTCCAGCAGCTTCTCATTTAGCTACCGGGCGTATCTTCTAGTCGTGCAATGCCAACTCTAACTCCGCTCTCCTCACATTGTTGCTCTGTTGATTAGCACATGTTGCAGTTGTCATCGGGCGGCAGGCAAACGGTTCGCTCAGACAATGCCCACCTCATCAACAAAGCCAGCAATTTGCTCGTCAACACAGGCACAGGTAAAAGGCAGGTAAGATAAGGCTGGGCAGGGCAGGCAAGTCAGGGCAGTCAGGTAGACAAGCTCGTCAGGCGTCAGGATGACATGCTTAGAGCTTCATCCTTTTGTGAATGGCATACACACACACACACATGCACACATTTTGATTGATCAATCAATCATAACAATATTAATGTGTATGCCACAGTCTGTAGCACGTGTCTATTATGCCAATGAGCATTTATTAGACGCCATTAAAGCCAATTTTTCTTTTTCAGAGCAGCACAGGCCAGGCCAGTTTGTCTAGCAGTCAGCAGTTAACCTGGCCATAATAGCATTTAGCCTATTTATAGATCACATCGATAGCCGGCATGTGCATGTGCA